ATGTGCTCGCTCGCTCTTTTTTTGTCCGCGTGCATGCTCTACGCGGCCTCGTTGCATCCAAGTGACCTTGACAGGACCTGCCGAAGGTGATGCCGTCCCTGGAGCTGGCAGAAGAGCCCGTGCCCCTGTGGTGGACCACGGACTTCATCTTGGCTTCTCCCGAGGGCACGCCCAAGGAAGAGGAGAAGTGGATCGTCGGCGAGTTCAACTGCTCCTGCGTGGGCATCTCGAGGTGCCTGGCGGCCTACTGCAAGGAGGACACCCCCAACGCCTGCTTCGATGACATCACGGAGGAGGACAAGGCGGAGGCCAAGAAGTACGGCGACCTCATGGGCCAGAAGGCTCTTGGCATCCTCTCCAAGTGATTTCAGGAGTGAGCCGAGCAGCTGACTAGTTTTGAGAAACACCGTACCAGCCCTCAAGGCTGCGGTGGGAGACGGCGCGGTTTGCGCATGCCCTTTTGCTGTGCAGCTAGCGCAGCTCCAGGAAATCTGCATGTAGGCAGCTGTGATGTTTCGCCAATAGGTCGAGTGGCCAATAGCCAATGACATCCAGACACCGAAAGGTGCAGGACTGGCAACTTTGGTGGATGAACTTGGTCCGCCGAACAAAATCATGCATTTGTGGCACCTCCTCATTGCTGGGGTCTGTTGTCCATGACTCTGTTCAGTGGGAATGAGCCGCGTGCTTTGACAGGACCTCAGAACTCACCCTCTTTGCAGCCTTTTAGGCTCTCTCCTGTGGGTTGGTTCGAGACCCTTCCAGGAGCCCATTAGTCGCTCGGCTCACTAGTTCCCAAGCCTTCCAGGCACCTCGAAACTTCGAGTCCTGAGCCTTTCGCAGTGGCCTTGCTTTCCCTGATCACCAAGGATAGTGAATTCTTAGAAGCTTGGCAGCAGGGTGGCCAGGGGCTTCAGCCGATCTTAGCCAAAACACCCCGGCCGTCAACTGCCGAGGATGGTGACCGTAACCCTGCGGACACTGCTCTGGCTTCCTGTTGCGCGGGTGGCCGATGCTGCACAGGCCGAATCGCCTTCTCGTAGGGGTGTGGCCTGTGTGGGCTGCTTCCAGGAGTTCCATCTTTCTGCCAGAAAACGAAATGCAATGCAAACAGGGCACCCTAATGCACCATAGTGCACCGAAGCGCGGCACTAGTATTGGTTTATAGCCACCAGATCACAAACACGTGTGGTAGAATCGGAGGATATGCGTGCACCTGCAATGAGATTGTGGGCCGCAGCGGGGGGCACAGATGTCCACAGCACGCTAAAACTGTCGAAAAGCCTGGAGGCCCAAAGATGCGCCACCATGCAAGGTGTTGGAAACTATCAATCAGATCTTTTTTTGGACACGTTTGCGCGATGTGCTTCCAACCTTCAGCAAAAACCCTAAAAAAGGTGGTTTCCATTCCGATTTCACAGTATCTTCGTCAACAGTTGACGGGTAGTTTTGAAATCTGGTTGCGGCTCAGGAAAAGATCACAGACCTCGTAGTTTGCGTGTGCACAAAGTAGCTTCCCCAGACTTTCAGTCACCCTTTTAAGGTGAAGCTGGCTAATCTGGCCGGTGCGCTTGACAATGACATGCTTTACACGACCAATCCAGTCTGCGTCTTGCTTCAAATTGCGGGACAGGGGGGTTCCCTAGAGACTCGCAGTTGGATGTGAGCGACTTGATCTCACCGGCCAATGGCCTGAACAGAGTCTTTGGAGCCGCCCCACCAGGATTCCGTACTTACAGGGATGATAATGAGCTCCCGTCCGTGCTGTCCCAGCCCAGGCCTGCAGAACTCGTGTGTGAATCCTTTCGCACCCGGCTTGATGGACATCCCGAGGCAGTGCTCTGGGTGCTCAGACGCATCCTAGAGAAGTGTAGGTCGAAGGCGATAGCTCCGATAGGTGTGTTTCTTCGTGCCCTATCCTCCCTCTCAGGACTTCCTTTGAACTTCAGAGACTGTGCGCTCAAAACATGGAAAGCTGGGAGGCTGGCGACCATGATCTGGCAGTGTTCGCCAGAGGGTGAGGCCTGTCGTTCAAAGTGCATAGCATGTTGACACTTCGACCTTCAATGCCAGGTGAAGAAGAACGTCAAGTTCTGCAGGGTGGCATGGCTCTATTAGCCTCGGAATGGTGACCAGCAGCAAACAGAAAGACATCCTGTGCCTTGTGCCAGGAGCAGCTTAGCATCTTCCGTGGTCATGTAGCGACAGTCTCCAAGCAATGCATCAACCTCAGGATGCTTTGGACTACGACGCAGCCATTCCATCTGGAAATCAAAGCACTACGCTGGATCAGATCGTAGCGGCTCAGGATAGTTCCGACCTCAGGCGAACGAGTGATACCAAAGGAATGGTATTGGTTGCAGCCTGTGTTTTCTCCTGGCGCATCCTGGCGCCCATTTTGCCTCACAACGTATTCAGGGTCATGGGCCCAACCAACCTGCAGCCATTCTGCTTGTGGCCGCGGCCAAAAGGTGTTGTGTGCAATGCTGTGTTGGAGTGAAGCCGAGGCGCAGCGTCAACGATGTTCTTCTACCATCTTAGCGCATTGGGCTATGACGTCGGCTCCTCGGGGCGTTGGCACTTCGCGCATTTTCGAGTCTTGTTCGCGCATTCGAGTGCTGCCGTCTTAGGTCTTAGTGTATCTTGCAACGGATGGGATTTCATGGATGACCCTAAAAGGCTACAACTCGTTGTCAGCGACAGCATGTTTCCGCAGGCGTGGGAGTTCCGAAGACCGAACGAGACAGAGGACGTCTGTGTGCAGAGCGTATACAAGCTGCTTGCTAGTCGAAGCTGGGGCGTTGGAATTTTTTGGCTTGTCAATGATAACTCTCAAATAGCCACCGCTGGCTGGCAGACTCATAGGCTCTTTCTCCAGAGCCAGGCGTCAGCCCAGAACAGCCCAGGCTCACGTGCCTCACCTACTTCCCCAAGAACGAGGTCAACGGGACCAGGGCTTGCAGGGGGCCTGATGTTGCTCGCCGCACGTGTTTTCAGTGCAATCACGTAGCTTTTTGCTTAGACCGTCCAATCGTCGCTGCAGCTTGCAACTAAACACATGGATTGCTGAGAGCCCTTAGCTTGAACAACAAAGGTGTGATTCTGGAAGTAACCTGTTTCTAGGACATTTTCAGGTGGGTAGTTACCGTTATAGGAGCCTCAAAGAAGGTCTATATACCTTATGGAAGCCATATAGAAGCCCTATATAAGCTCCCCACCTGTAGCTGCCTTTAACTGTTCGATTCTGCCATGTGAGGCGGGATGCAAAACTGGAGCTCAGATCCCCTTCCTTAGACCGTGCCGGAACGCTTGCGAAAGTGGCTTGCCCTGAACAGAGGGTCATGGCATTTCCTGCAGACGTGAGTTGAGTACCCAAGCATTTTGAGGTATTGAACTGCTGTGTCGAGCTGTCTCTTCGCTGTTCTGAGGTTATCTGAGCCAGTGCCAGGTCTGCGGCATGGCAAAGTCATGGCAGCCATGTGGGATTCTGTTGACATTTGTCGAGGTAGAGTGCTGCGATGCCAGCACGCAGTGCGTCTTCGTACACGAAGGCCAGGACGGCAGTGAGCAGCCAGAGGCTCAGCTGTGACACTTTTGATATCCTGGATCCTTGAATCGAATGCTCTGCGGTGCTGACCGGGGTGCCGAGGTCTGGATACTACGATGCCGACGGGCCCTCTGCCCTGTGCACTGGCAGCGGCCGGGAGGGCCAAGATTGAAGTTGTAAAGGAGACCGTAGGTTTGTGAAAGCTTTGTTGCTGAGACGCCTGTAGCTCTTCGTCCCGGGACCTTGAAAAGCTGCTGCCTCAAACCCAAGCGTCTGTTCGACGACCTTGGTTTGGGGCCCCCCCAACTCTCTGAACCTTCAATCCCGAAACCCAGAAAGCCTAAATTGAGAGAGTCGGTGTCCCCGGGAGAATACACCGCAGCTCTCTCCTTGGGCTTTCGGCTCCCCGGAGAGGCGCCGGCCGCCTGGCCTCCCCCGGAGCGCTGGTCCTGTGCCTCGGCGGAGAAACGGCGTGGGCTACCGCGCCATGCGAGGAAAGGGCACACCCTCCCCGAAGCAAAGGCTGCTACTGGGACTACAGATGTCCATGTGGGAACGACGGCCTGGTTGCAGCTTCGTTGCAGGTAACTGCTGTCACTGCGCGATATAGAACTCAATTATGCTTGATAGCACCTTCAGCGATCTGAGGGGCAAGGCACCTGCTCCTAGCACTGGCACTCTCTTGCGCCACAAGCTTGCAGGGGCACCTCGGCTGTGGACCTCGATTGCCCTCTCGATTCTGGATGTTTGTTGCCAGGTGCTCGCTTTTCATCCCCAGCCATCGGGCATCTTGGCTTTGTCGAGACATGCTGCCCTTCTAAGGCGACAAGCCTCTGAGAAAAGAGCCCAAGTACTTTGTTGCTGCAGCTGCGGCTGCGACAAGCTACGACAGCTCCGAACTTTTCAGATGAGAGCAACTCCAGTCTTTGTCTTTGGCAAGCCAAGGTGCCGAACTGGAAGAAGGATTCGGATTACCTCGTGCGCTTTGAACATGTTCCACGTTGGCAACATGAGGTTAGTCGGGCTTGCGCTCGTGGGAGCACCATCAGCAGTCAGTTCCCTCGGCGAAGGTGAGTTGAGCCGGAGCTTAATCGTATTCCAAGGTGCCAGCCGGGAAGCTTGAGACGGCAGCGACACTGAACTCGTGCAACATTCTGAACTCACCGGAGGGGGACGAGGCGTACGGGCGTACGGTGCAGCAGCTGGTGGTTCAGGGTCTCCCCCGTGTCTTGTCCGGACCTCCGTCCAGAACTCTACAATCATCCTGAACGCCTGTGCAGGTCTGCTCTGGTCGCGGGCAGTGCAAGCCCTGGTCGATCCAGCCCCTGAAGGCAGGGTCAAGAGCATCAAGGCTCTCACGTGAAGCCGCTAAGTGGTGGATTGAGACTTGTGGCTTGTGTCTCGAATCCTTGAGTTTGTCAGATGTGTTCTGTGTCATTATGATGCAGTGCTTGTTTTGTGGTGGGTTTGGTATGTCGCAGTTGCTGTCAAACACAAATCATAACAGAAGTCTTCTAGAACAATTCTTGTATTTTAAAGCTGCCTGGAAGTTGGTGGTCACGGGGTGTTTGGGTGAAAGGATTGCATAGCTTACACGAATGCAGTGCACCAGGTTGCGAGCCTCAATGCAACAGCCGCGCCCCCCAGTGCATGCAGTGAGAGCGTGACGTTGCGCTTTCTCGTGGGTGTTGCTTCTGAGCTTGTTGTAGCCTTGTCTGAGCGGATTCCATGCAGGCTTGCCTGATTCTGAGGTTTCGTCACTCAATGCGCTCTCTTTCTGCGAGTGCGATTATCAGTGGGCTGATCCCGAGCGTCTTAGCAGAGATACGGGGTCATGGGGTCTTTTGATCACCACGCTACTGGCTGCGACCCTGGGACCTGGTCGCCACACTCTTGCCATGCACTAACTAACCGAACGGAGGTGCAAAAAAGCATGCGGGTGGCTTCCGGCAAAACGCTTGCTGTATTTCCCAACTACACAATGCCTCCAAGCTGAAGGTGCCGGACCAGGAGAAAGTCCCAGATGAAGGCAGCGGACTCCAGCCGGAAGATCAGATGCCGTGCTCCACCACTGTGCTTCCCGAAAACTGGCGCACAAGACACTTGTGAACCCTAAACTACAGACCTTCGCCAATGCAGCACCCTGGCACGGGCCTAGAGACTCATGTGCATGTGGACGTGTGGGATGTGCCCTTGGCCGCAGAGAAAAGCACGGGAGCGGGAGCGGGAGGCCTTCTTCCTGAGCCTCGTCGCTGGCATCTTCGGAGCAGACAGATTTTACCTCGGCCTCTGGGTGTCTGGGTGCCTCGGAGAAGACTGGAAGAAGCTCTTTCTTGCTTCAAAGAGCCTGCGACAAGGCTCAGGCCCCCTGCAAGGACCCGGTTTCTCAATGGTTTTTTGTTGTTTCCTCCTGACTTTTTGCTCATTTTCTCCGAGGTGCATCAAACTGGCCGCTCGGCACATTTCTGCTGACAGGACCTCGTGAGACTGGGGACTGCTTGAAGCCTCAGGTCACGCTCGGCGGTTTCGGGCTGTGGTGGCTTTACGATGTTGTTGCTCGGCGAACCTTGCAAGATGTTCAATGCTGTGGGTATCTTGAGTGTCCGAAGCTTGATGCCCTGGGCCTGCTCGAAATCCGAGAAGCAAACACAAGGTCCGTGTGGGATCCGCGCCTATCTATGCAGACGACTTCAAGGTGACGGCGAGATTCGGGGTTGGGAGCAGGTCGCATTCATTTACCATAAGCTGTCAGCAGCTTAACAACGAATGCAACCGGATGTTGTGGTCCGCAAATACATTTCTGGCTCGCCCCAAGCCTGGAGGTTGCGGCAGACTTGCCGCACTGGTTGTACCTGCTGTGCCCTAGCTGAACCGCTCGAACCGCTCGATTCGGTGCGGGCTTCTGTGCATTCCCGGATAGTACCAGCTTCATTTCGAGACGGTATGGCTTGGTCCGACGCAGTTCTTCTACGCTTTGCAAGCCGATTCTAGATTTCCGAGCTGTGAGTTTTGTTCAGTCTAAACGTGTCCTTGGAGTCATGTAGAAACCTCTCCTGCAAAAGGATTGTGATCCTCGTCTTTGGTGGGCTGGGCCTCGTCTACAGCTTGGAGTTGTACGGCAGGTGCAGATTGGTTGGTTTCTTACGTTTCGTAAAGTTCAGCTTTCGACGTTGACTTGATTTGAAACGCTGTACGTGATGAGCGTTGACTTGAGTTCGGCGATGCTGTGCAGCCGCCTGAACCGTAGAAATCTTCCAAAGCAATGGTCTCGGATCGCTGGCCCAACTCCCCACTCAGCTGTTTGGTCTCGCCAGGCACAAGAGGCAGAAGCGCCACGAGGCGCTTGTTTCAAAGTCGTCCTCGTGTCGAGATTCCAGGAATTTGCGGGCCAGGCCATGCAGTTCTCGCTCGATGAGGAAAGAAGTTTGAAGACTCCCCTGACAGAAAGTCGGCGGCCAAGTCAGGGCTGGTCAGAATGGCAGGGCCTTTGGTGACGGCGACTGAGGCAACGACCCGAGCAACCCTTGGAGCGGGTCGGAAGCCCAGGAGTGGAGGCGTTCATCCAACGGGCGTGATTTCAGTGCGCTCCAAGATGCTCCTCGCAAGGCACCGCTCTGCGGGCTACGGATCCACACTTCCCCAGTTCCCCACAGCGGGTGCGCCGCTGGTCCTGCGGTAAAGCTTGCCCCGAGCCTAGCATCGACCCGCGGACCTTTCCTGCCGGCTCGTTTCACCTGTCCATCAGCATGCGTGGTAGTCTCCGAGATGGCCAAGCAAGACGCTGAAATGAGACTTTGCAGTTTCTCGCAGGACTCCGAATTTTCCCTATCCCGGTTTCTGCTGCAGTATACGTACCGACTCAAGCATCTGCAGCCGTCCGAGCTTTAAAGCTGTCGGAGACACTGGTCTTCCAAGATGTGAGCCCTTCCTAGGATGGCCATCTCGTTGCAGACGCACCACCGCGGCGAGCAGCCGAAAACAAGTGTCTAGCTTCTATGCGCACTGCTCGAGTTGTGGTAGATCGGAGCTCTAAGAGGGCTTCTTGGCATCTGCAATTGAAACACTATCAAAGCCAAGGTGAGGTACAGTTCTTACACGGGTCTTGCATTTGTAATTGCTTGACTAGCGGTTGGCGACTTCGTCCCCGTGTTGCGCATGCTCAAAGACTTTGAGCCAAAGGCAGTGCGACAACGACATGCTTCATGTCTGCAGGTTGCAGGACTCTGAGGTTCCCACACGTCACAACCTCCGCGGATATAGCTTGGATGCCAAGACGAAGCTTGGTGTGAAGCCGTGAGGGACTCGGGAGCCATAACTTCGGCTCTCCAGCTCCGGCTGCTTGAACGCAGGGCGCGGGCCCTGACACGTGGCATGTCAGTGTGCCCTGATCGGAGAGTCCAGAGTCTCGCAAGTCGTTCTCTCCATGATGGCACCCCTGCGTGTGCCTCTTTGCCAAGGCTGGCCAGCAAAGATGGGCTCAGGCAAGGGCTGTTGTCTGTTCTTGTGGTTAGCGCCAGAGCTGGGGGTCCTTCCTGCAAAGGCCGCCCCTCGCCGAGTGTCCGACGGCCAACACATGCGGGTTCCTGGTACGAGGCGTCGGGCGTTCCCAGTCAGGTTGTTCTGGTGGTTCTGGGCCGTTGCACCGTTCAACAAATCTAAACGGCTTTAATCGCTAGTTTGGTTTTGGTGGGGCTTCTGGTGGTGAGAGCAAGAGGACGAGCAGGAAGAGCGAGGAGGCAGAAGAAGTCGTGGTGGAGACCACTCGGATTGACCTTCACCCGTGCTCGATGCCCCGGCCGGACCAGGATGATCCGGAGATCTTGAGGGAGGAGTTGCAGCAGATGCTCGGCTTGGAGCTGAGTTCCAGCACCTTAGGGAGCCGCCTGAGAAAGAACCTGTTCGAAAGAAGTTCTGAGCTTGAATCAAGATCTCCTGAGCAACTCACTTCGGCTTCAATCAACCCTTTTACGTGGGTTTCAGCGAACATTCACATCCCTCGCAGCAAGATCTGCAGCATGCAGTTCCTTGGCGCACGGTGTCGGACTGTTTGTGGATGCGCATGTGCTAAAGGCGCCGAGTATGCAGATGGTGCCACAGAGGATCCTGGGCTTTGCGCCGTGATATCCCCCCATGCAGGCTGGCAGTATTCTTGAGGGCTTGAGGCTTTCACACCGTGGCGGGCTACGGGCGTTTCTCAGTGTCAACAGCCCCCATAGGTTCCGATGAGGCCAGGTTAGCAAGGGTCCGAGGGTGTTCCTGGGAAGCAAGGGTCTCATTCAACCTGCTCGGAGACACCGGCCTGTGAACAGGTCTTCGCTTCTCCGGGTCTGTTGAGCCCTCGGAAATTGCACGGAAGGATGCTTTGTGCTGGGTTCAAAGGGTTCAGAGTACAGGCATGGAGCCAAAAGGCTCCGAGAACTCCTGACAGAGTGGTCCAAGACATGCATCAACTCACAGAGCGGGAAAAACTAAGTGCTACAATCGGCGATCAAGTGCCCGAAGCCGGAAGTCTGCCTTCCAGTCTTCGGAGATCCTAGTCCTAGTCGTTCCGCAAGGTGGCTGCAGGGGTTTATGCCCGTGTGGACGTCGCCAGTGTCGAGTGCATATTCCTTTTGGGGCAGGGCCCCCAGCTGGAGCCGCGAGACACAACCAGCGCAGAAGTGGTGGGTTCAGAAGATCCTCGTTCACGTGAGGCCGTCACACCACGAGCCTTTGGAAGGCTGCGCCCTTCCCGGTGAGGAGGTCTTGGCTTACAGGACTTCTCCAGCCTTGGATCCAAACGAAGGTCCACGTGAGTCATCCCATGTTGCCGGCCGCAGGACCCCGCTGGGAGATCTTCCGCTGGACTTGGCGGTCCTCGCAAGGGACTTACTACTTGGGCCGTACATTGGGTTTTGCTCATTGAATTCGGCCTGTGCGACCGCGAGAACTCAAATGTTCGTTCCCGTCAATATCCGAGTCTCTGTCCCACATGCCGAACCTTGTCCCGGCTATTGAACGCTGCTTGCTGATCGCTGTGGGAGCTGTGATGAGGCCGAGCTCCGAAAGACGCACGAATTCAGCCACCTTCCTATGCATGTGGATGAGGTCTGGCGAGATACCGACAAATCTTGTCTTGCTTTGGGTTTCTGCTCATGGTTGTACATCGAACTTGAACGTCTGCTCATGCCCGAAGTCGTTGGACAAAGCCTCGATTCTTCCACGGCCCACCTTGAATGTGCATCTACACAGACGCAGCTCCCACAGGCTTGTGTGCGATATCTCTCCCCCTTTGCCCGCCTCCCCGCCTGCTTGCCTGCCTGCCTCCCTGTTGCCCGCGTGTCCACCATGCATGCATGCCTGCTGGCATGTACGGTATGCATGCATACATTCTCACCTACCTTCGTCTATGCATGCGTGATCATGCCTGCTACACACAGACATATATTTTTTATGTATATAAATATGTATATGTATATGTATATGCATGTGTATATGTAACTGTATATACACAGACACACGAACGCATACATGCACACAGAAATACAATATTCACGTACACCCACGCATATATATATATATAAACATATACATACAGATACCCAGAATTGTATGTATGTATATATGTATATATATATATATGGATATATGTATGTACGTATTTATGTACGTATGTAGCTTCTCCTTCCCTCTCTCTCTCTCTCTTTCTCTTTTTCTCTCTCGGTCTCTCTCTATCTCTCTCTTTCTCGGTCTTTCTCTCTCCGTCTCTGTGTCTGCATGTTTCCGCCACCCAGAAGACATCCGAGCGACCTGCATTGTGCAGGCAGAGCACTCCTTGGAACTGCAGCCCTTCGGCTGCAAGAGCTGGGACCGCTTGCATGGGTTGCGGTGATGTTGGAGGGTTCGGCCATAACGATAAAGACGCGCCGTTCCCAAGATTCGGTTGCGGTCATGGTCACTGCATTCTCAAAGTGGGAACGACAGCGTGCCGCAGCATACCATACAAGGTAACGTGAGATCAAGTCTCCGGTTCGTCTCATGGTAGTCGTCGACGGTACCGCTACAGCCTTTAAGCTGTGTTACAGCTGCCGATTACATGTTGCCATCCCCCGGAAACCCCAAATGTGACGACAGGTGTCACTGATAGCAGCAAGAATTTGGAACTTCGCTATGCCATAATCTCTGTGTCGTGTTGCGTCATTGCAGCCCTTCAACAGCACAGAGTGCTCCACATGGGGTCCGACGAGACAGCAAGAAGACGGCACATGCCGCATCGTGAAATTTCGAGGAAGGAAGACGTCCTGCAGAGACTTTATCCTGGGGTTGTCACTGGAGGCTCCCTTTCCTCGCAGAGCTCTTTTTGCCGGGTTCTCGGCTGCGCTCGGTTAGCGGTCGCGTGCGAGGTTGAACATCTTCGGGCTTGTCAGACTACCAGGCATTGTCAATTCGCCCCCGGCATGTGAGTGCCAACTGTTTGGGGTTTCATTCTTCAAGCTTGAAGTCTCGGGTCTCTCAGGGGAGACCCTCTCCACGGCCGAGGAACAGCCCAAAGAGGCGTCATCTACCACCTGCGACTATCGTTCCGATATTGGTTGGCCAGGCAAGGCCATCGACTCCAAGTTCATAAAACGATTGACATGATGGGAGACAGCACCGATTTCCGCGTCTTCTCTTGAAGCAGGAACTCCAGAAGTCATCCTACTGGTACTTTCAGGCCAGGGTCTTTGCCCCGAGCAGGTGAATGCCCGAAGCGAAGCACTCTACGGGCAGCTGCTGGCACCCTTTCTTCAGTGTCTCGGCGGATGAAAAACCATCATCCGGCGATTCTCTGTGTCGCAGCTCTCGACGCTCGGCTCCGAGTCCGACCGAGGCGCAAGGGAACCCTCTTCGCGGGCGGCCCAGGGTGTCGGCGGGCCTTTGCTTAGCGGCAAACAGTGCAAGGGAGTTAGAGATGGAAAGGCTGCGCGACGAGTCTTCCTCAGGTGGTTTCTTCCGACTTTTGCCACTGGGGGGCCCAATTTGGCTACACACGAGTAGGCCACTTGTTACGAAGCTGGACGAAGGTTGTAGTTAGAAGTTTGAAGCACCATGCAGGACTGCGAGAACCCTCGTGCTCGCCTTTTCAATCTCGCAGGCTCTCCTTCCCTGGCAAAGACTTATCGCGATGGTCCTCATCCAGACAATGCTCGGATTGAGGTGGAAGCTTTGCAGAGCACAGGTGCAGCCTATAGTGTTGACGCAAATCTCTCTTCACACTGCACCCAGTCCGCCGTAATGACCCCTTTCTCTGTCGGCTTCAGCCGAGACTAATTAGAAGAGAGTGAGGCCTTGTGGGGGTTCCACTCGCTGACAACCTGGAAGGGCCTGGATCGAGAGGGCATGGATTACATCCAGCGTCAAGACGCCGCTGCCTTTCGAGCGCACGGTCCCCACAGGTTTGTGATTTGAACTTGTTTTTTTTTCCAGCGTACCGTACAGATCTCAGCCTGATGTGCAGGTATCATGCAGTAGGGAAGTCAGAGGTAGATGTAAGTTTCTTAGAGTCCGAAGAAATCTCGCTCTCATTTCTTGAGAGGTCAGGTAGCAGGGGTTGAGGTGAGAGGTGAGGATGGAGGGATTGTCAACGGGCAGACGATCCATGGCTTGGCAGCACAGAGATCATAATCTTTGTTTTGGAGGGGACTGTTTGTGATGTGTATACTCTGTAGGTAGCTGTATGTAAGGATTTGGTAGGTTCCAAGATATTTGGGCGATGTGCAGCTGACGCGACAAAATTCTGCTAGAATTTGAAACATGTGACCGTAGCTATGACCTAACTTTTCAAGAATGTTGAGCAGACACCCTGGCTTTGGGTTTTGATTCCTCTTGTAGCATGTCTCCTGCCGTGAGGTATTTAAGGAGGGAGGGCAACACGATTTGTGGCCTCGCACCCGGTCCTTGCGTTCGCTTCAGCTGTTTTGTCATATACTGTTTCATGCAAGCTTTTTTCTTTGGGCGGATCTCGTCTTCCCTGGGTCTTCCCTGGGTCTTTGCCAGTCGCCGGGGCCAAGGCCGGCATCCTATACTCGTCCTTCTGGAGGCACAGCCCGGGCCTACTCAAAGTAGGCACCTTCCAAGTTTTCTCAGACCCTGGGACGAGGAGTGTGACGCAACCACACTCAAGTGTTGCAGCGTTGGGATTCTGTTAGAGACTCCAGAATTCCCTTTCGGAGCACGGGCAGATGCTGGCGGCGAGAGAAAGCCGAGCGGAGATGGGCGTGAACTTTGTGAAGTATGCGCAGTCAAGGCCTGTTCTTTGCGTGTGCTGTGATCAGGCCGAAGGTTTCCAAAAGGAATGCTGTTCAATCTTATATAAAGAAGAACTTGTAGACATTGACGTCTTATATATCTCGAATTGCTGTTGCCAAGCCTGGCGCAGTGCGATGCCGGGGATGCCGCCTCCTCGCACAGCCTCGGTCTCCTATGCGTGCGCCAGAGGCCTCAGAGTACTCTGAGCTCAAGTGTCGTGATTGATGTGCTGCTGTCAAGACATTTTATCCCTTATGGCTGAGGCAGTGTGCAGGCCCATGTTGGTGGGCGGTGGTTGAGGTGGCTTTAAAAGGCGCCTGGAGGCCTTGTCTTGCAGACTGCAGGTTTCGGGACAGGGATGTCATTTTTCTAAGCAAGGCTTCTCCGCTTGCCTGCAAGACTAAACGCCGGTATGCTGTACAGTGCTTCTTCGCAGCCACTTCTCATCCCACTATTAGAAGATGAATTCATCCATTTGGGAATGTGCTGACAAGCTTTATCTTCCACTACATTCGTACAGATCAGACGATCGGTCGGTCTGTCTCAGATTGGGACGCCACAAGGTCTTTTGGAAGATAGAGAATTCGCGCATCCCGAAAACGCATTCGATTATCAAACCATAATGTATCCTTTCCTTCCTTTCTAATTTGAACATATCCAACATATATGATACACAATAATCATAATAATCAATATTTTAAACAATATTGGAAAATATTCCATAAAATCATTTGCTCCTCATTTTTCAACATGCCATTGAATGCCATTGACTCCTTATCTTTTAAAATTCAAGATTAATTGATTCGATTTCTTTTTATGAATTAACCAACGAAGTATGGACAGGATTTTATAAATGATAGAGTTGAATTGAGAATTTTCTAGGAATTATAAGATCTAATTTGCGTAGATGGCTGCCGGTACGAAGCCACGAACATGTCGGGATTCTGGGATCGTCGGCAAGTTTGCGGTTGTCTGCCTTTGAAATAAAGGTGAATCCTTGGAACGATTTTCCATACATTCCTGGGATTTTGAGGCTTTCGTACCATCAAAATCCCGAGCATTTCGGAGTCTCGTGCTGTACGAAATTCCGGAAATCGCGGGGAAAGTATGTATCACGACATTTTCGGTCAACTTTGTTCTGTATGCTGGCCTTCACTTCTTTATGCCGCTTCGATCGATATAGAAATCGTCGATGCTCAATACTATAGTGAATGATTGGACACTTGATACATGCCACGTATGTCGTGTATAATGCATGCGAGGAGTGTGTCACGGGCGTCTGGGTGAGGGTGGAGTGGTGGGTGAGGGCTTGTCTCGCAGTGGCGAGCGAGGGAATATGTCTCGTAAAAAGTGTCGCGAAGTCGCGGGCGAGTGAGCGAGTGTCGTGGAGGAGTGGCGGGCGAGGGTGGAGGGGAGAGTGGCGGGCGGGAGTGGTGGGCGAGAGCGTCGGAGGGGAGCGGAATGGGGCGAGGGCGTGGCGGGCGTGTCGTTAGTGGGGGAGGGTGAGAGGGCACTTGTGGTGTGGGGAGGGTCGTGGAGTGGTGGGGCGAGGCTGTTGTGTGGGTGCGGGGGATTTCGTGGAATGGTGGGTGAGGGGGGAGGAATATCGAGGAGGTTGAATGGGTTGGTATCGAATAATGGATAGGGTTGAAGGGAAAAGGGGGCATGAGGTGAGGGGGGCCGTAATGGGAGAGGTGGGCGGATAAAATATGAGGAATTTCTATTATAAAAGATAGGTAAGATTCTAGGCGAAAATTTTTTTGAAATATATTTTTTAATATAATTATTTAGATGAAATTTATAATAAATAAATATTTAGATTTTTTTAATATAAGAATTAATATCGACATTTATTCTAGATAATCGAATATTCAATCGAATATTTATTGAAAATGATCTTATTATTAGTATTTATACGATTATTTATTTTTATGAAAATTATTATTATTATAGATGATTATAATTTTTATATAATATATTATTTCTATAATTATAATAATTATTATTATTCTTCTTCTTATTATTTTTTGAATATATTATGCGGAATATCATTGAATTGGCAGGAGAAATATATCTAAGATATGATTAAAATATTATTAAGATTGATTATAATAATATCTCTAACTAATAATTTGATATTCTTTTAGATAATAATATATCGATTATTATAAGGAAGGGATTTTATAGGATGTTACGACATGCTCTTTCGAGGATGAGTTGTTAATTATCGCCGACTTGAAGTCGAAATGGTCTTGGGCGACGAGGAGAAGTTTAAAAATTATATAGAATTGGATTGGATGGTTAGATGGAGTCAATCTTGAATTAAAGCTGGGTAATTTATAGATAGAATCTTATGGAGAAGAAATAAATGAAATTTCTGGATGCTTCACTAATGCCGAATATCTATAGAGAAAAAAAATATATATTCGATCCTTCCTGTAATAATAAAACGATCCCCTCTCTTTAGATGGGGTGAGTTGGTCAATTTCGAATATATTTAGATATGATAATAATAATTTAATTTCGAGAAAGTGAACAAATATCCTGGCTCAATGAAGATTTATTTTGCTGCAAATTTGAATACTTATCCTGGCCAGGTGAATATTTATTTTGATGTAAAAGTGAATACTTATCCTGGCCAGGTGAACATTTATTTTGATGCAAAAGTGAATACTTATCCTGGCCAGGCGAACATTTATTTTGATGCAAAATTGAATACTTATCCTGGTTAGGTGAATACATTTTGGTGTAAAAATGAATATTTATCCTGATCCGGTGAACACTTATTTTGGTGCAAAAATAAAGATTTATGCTGGCCCGGTGAACGCTTATTTGATAAGAAAGACCCGATGAGTACGTATTCTAATGGGAAAGTCAATACTTATCCTGCCATGATAAATATTTTGCTTGGTGGGAAAGTGAACACTTATCCTGGTCCGGATAAGTCTTCACTTTCCCATCAACATATTGAATTTCGATTATTTTGGTGGGAAAATGAACACTTATCCTGGGCCGGCGAACACTTATTTGCTACGAAAATGAACACTTATCCTGGCCCGGGGAAATATTCACTTTCCCATGGGAAGGTGAACACTTATCCTGACCCGGGGAATATTTATTTCTGGGGTTTGATCACCTATTTCTGATCAAGAAAAGTGTTCTCCTGGCCAGGATAAATATTTATTTTTGCACGAAAATAAGTATTCGTCTGACCAGGATAAGTATTTATTTTTAACTAAAAAAATGTGTTCCCCGGGCCAAGATAAGTATTAACTTTTGTATCAAAACAAGTGTTCTCCGGGCCAGGATAAGTATTCACTTTTGCATGAAAATAAGAAATCATCTGGCGAAGATAAATATTCACTTTTGCATCAAAATAAGTGATCTTCTAGCCAGGATAAGTGTTCAGTTTTTTGCTCCAAAATAAGTATTTCCCGAATCAAGATAAGTAATCTTTTTGCTACCCAAGTTCTCATAAAGAATTACTATTAGAGGAAAGATCATATGTATTTATATATTCTCCTAGAGTATCTCATGAAAGAGAGAATACTAATGAAATTCTCCATGCCAAAAGAATTCCAAGAGAACTATGATAAAAAAAATAATCTCATTTATCCTAGATCTATATTTATAGAGTCTAATAGAAAAATAATAGATAATAGAGAATGTAGAGCCCTCTATTCTATCCCTTCAAACTACATATTAGTTAAGAAATCAATCGGAATATCATATAGATAATAGAATTCCCGAAATATAAATGCCAATTTATACAAGAAGAGGTCTCAATTATTAAATTCTCCTAGAAACTACTTGCTCTTAATATTAACCTCCCAATTATGACTACCTTTTCCGCACAGAATAATTATATCAATTAAATTTCGATATAAATAAGAAATCATCATTATATATCTTTTCTCATATTTCTTTTAGTACCTATTTATCGATAAATACTAAATAACTAATAAATGTCCATCTTCAGAGAAGATTCGAATATAATAATTTCCGATAATAAAAATCCTTAATATAGTACCCTAATTAATAATATCCTTATTATAAAGATCATATAATAATATACCCTAATTTTCTGCAATTCCCATATATTGTAAAAAACAATATACGAAATAGTTCCCTCCCCTTAGACTTCCAAGAGACCCTACAATCCATTACAATATCCGCATTAAATACCAAATTTTACTTAAATTCTCGTCTTCATCAAAAAAATAGATTATAAAAATACATTCCACAATTTAACATTAAAGAGATCAAGAAGATAATAAAAATTAAAATATCCATCTCAAAATAGAAAATGAAACCGAATTTAACAATTTCAAGAAGAATATATATCAATTTCGTTTATTCTAAAAATCTATGAAAATTTTATATCAAATTATCATCCAATATATTAATTGCCTAGAATTCAATTCTAAAAATATGTAGTGCCAAAGCAAACTCTGGAGGCTCGCCCAGCGCATACTCAGTCGCAGGTGCCCGCGGCAGAGAGTTTCTTGGCTTTTGATGGCCATGTGCAAGCGGTCCTTAATTTTTGCCTGCGAGCCTTCGGGGTCAAGCGGCTTTAGCCACACACCTGCCGCGAGAGGTTTTGCTGCTTCGAGGTTTCAGCTTGATGACCCTGCAGAGTCTCGCAGCTCGTCACTCTCGTGAGTGATTCAAAACAACGTGCCGGTACCACAGCGTTCAATACGAGCGAATGGATGCAATCAGTCATTCAGAATCAGTCAGACAGTCAGTATGTTGTTCACTGTGTAAGTTGCGTTTGTTTTTGTTTTAATGTGCAAGATTCAAGGTTCGTGGGTTTCGGACCGGGCTTCCTGTAGCACACCCTTCTTCTGCAGCTGCTGTCGCTCAGCACCACTCCGGCACTCCCCTTTTCGGCTCCAGACCAGCTTTGTCTAAACTTCTGACTTCAAACTCAACTCGGAGCTTCTGTGGGCGCTGAGCGCTGAAACACCAAGCCCTTTCCTAACCCCCTTTGCCTCCAGCTTCGCGCGCCCATCGCAGCTCGCCACGGCCCAGCGCTAGGGCTAGGCCGGCCAGGCGTTTCCTGCCGCGGAGGCTTGGGATGGAAGCTCGAGAAGTACCAAGCCCTGGTCTGACATCCACGGCTTTCCAATCTGCTTGACTGAAAATGCTCTCCCCGCCCAGGTGGCCTGCTATCGGGCCACCTCCAGCGTGACCTTCGCATTTCCGGCGGGAGCCAGGACTTGAACTGGCCTCAGGACTTGCAGCGTCTTGTTGGGCATCAGGCGCTGCATCGCATTGCCGAACACACGCGAAAGTTGCGATGTCTCGAGACAGGGAGGGCTTCAGCAAATTTGAGCTGACTTTTATTTGCTAAGAGTTCTACATCCGGGTTATCAGGGAGGCATGATGTTGCGATCGCTGAAGCAGCAATCGCTCAAGTTGCTTCATCGTTGCATGATGTGCAAGACTCTCCGCAAGGAGTGTTCACTCATCGCGCGAATTCATTGTCACTCGCGGTTCAGAACACTGATTCATTCCGATAGCATAATGTAGCACAAGGACAGTAGGACTGAAGGCATCAGAAACAAAGCAACAGCAGAACCACTCCTCCTCTTCCTTCTCCTCATCCTTCTTCTTTTCCTCTGCGTGCTCCTGTGCTTCTGCTGCCGCTGCGATACCAATGCCACAATGATAATCGAGCTAGTGAGGGTTACCGTCAATGACAGTGATTTCGGCGAGATGGCCAGGAACAGGAAATGCAGCCAGATGCATATTAGCATTGAAACCGGGAACTAGAGAAGAACCAGTGAAGGTACACATGATTAGAATATGATTTGAAGTGCTACAAGCAGCAATAACAGTACAACCAACATCTATCGACGACAATCGAAAGCCTGCTAGTCTGATCTTGTCTGATCATAGGCAAGAGAACACTGCAACAACATCAAGCAGAACATCAACCGCAACAGGAGTGGCGACACAATCCAAGGACAACACACGAGAAACATAATTGTGCCGAGCGACAGGTCCAAGTGTGGCAGTTTTCCAAGCAGAAGATCGCCTCAAACCGGCCGATGGGCACCTGGAGCCTGGGTTCAGTGCCATCTCAAGGCCTGTCTGCCTGTCTCTCTGTCGCTGGTCGGAGCAGTGGCTCGCGGGAAACTCCTCTCACCCACGTGTCGACATGACTCGGTCCAACTTGCCAGCTCAGCCGACGTCGAAGTCATGTCCCAAACTCTAGGTCTCCCGGCAAGCTCAATGTAGACGCTAGCAGCTCGCCCGGCTCACTCACTGGCGTCCAAGGTGCCAACCTCAGCAAACAATGCCGGCAGGATGTCGCATGCATGACTGTCCAGGTCTTGGTCCAAAGCCGTCGCGTAATTTGCCCGAATTTCTGCATGCGTCCGCACTGCACGGCTCCACTAGTCAAATCTGTCTGTCTCTCAGTCTGCGACAAATGAGCTTAGAAGATCTCCAGTCTGTCAACCAATGCCGACACTGCCACAGACTGGGACCTAAAATCAAATCGAAACGCTGAGTCCCCCCAGGACAAATTCACTGAGCATCACGGCCCCTTTTGGATGAGGCTCCACCGGCCCCAGTAAGCTTTGGCCATGTGACCTCAACATTTCAAGTCGTACTGACCGCTTTGATCGTCGAGGCCGAGCCTACATGCCCTCCCTGCTGCTCTAATCTTTGTCTTAGGTCCTAGTTATGATGGTCTTGCGTCCCTTGAGCACAGTTTCTGCCGAGCCAACCGAGTAGCGCGGGACGATGGCGTGCCAATCGTTGACGATGAACCTGGCAGCAATCTGTTCTGAATGCTAATGGTCCCGATGAGGTCACGACTGAGACTGCGAAGAAAAGGCTCGTTTGCAAAGACACCGATTTGAGAGCCCTTCGCTGTGACTTCAGCAGCTCCAATGTCGGGATGCCTCCGAATCATGGCGGAGCCCTTCTTCGTCTTCTTCCCGTCCCAATGCAGAACGCTTGTTGTATGCGATCTTGCCGGACCGCTGACGCCATATAAGTCGCCGGGAACGCATGTGGCATTGCTGTGGTTTAGGCGACATAGCAAGATATCCATTCGGAGGAGGGTAGATTCGCGACCGTGGGTGGATGGAAGTGCCGGAAACGATACCTGAGTACTTTACCCAGCAGTGCGTTCGTCAATGAAGCCAATGCATAGGCAGCAGCTTTGTGCCAGAAGCGTGTGTTGATCCGTGTCACCGCATTTTCAACCGCAGCCTTCACCTGGGCACCTGGTTTGCATCAACACCAAAGGTTCAATCGCGCTCAAACATGCGTAGGCTGCTCTTAGTCAAGCTTCCTGCTTCTCTGTAAAGTTGCTTTTAACCGTGCGGCCTAGAGCCTTCAAATATGGTCAAGCTGTCAAGCGATGGATGCAAAACGTAAAGGAAGCTGCAGGCAGGGCGCTCGTGTCAATCTCGATGCGTTTTGGGGTCTGGTGAAAAGCTTGCCGGCTCAGCATCTTATTCCATTTCCGAGCTTCATGGGTTCTCCCCAGTCTTACTTCAGGCCCTCATGCCACCGGGAGAGGTTTCTGTTGCAAGAACAAATGCACTTTCGAACACACTCATGTTGTTTCAGTGTGTAGTATGTGTGTATCCCCCTGAGCACGACCACCATGTCTACTACTATCGGTCTGTATAAGTGAGCATTATGATATTCGGCTTCTCCTGATTCTTCTAGGTACACTTACTTGTGACGATGACTATGTTGATTTCTTCTGTTCCTCTGATCCAACAGGGTTTTGCAACATTGCGAGGCCGTCAAGGCAATAGCTGGATGCTGGCATCCCACGATAACCTTGTAGAGGGTGTCAATTTGCAGTACCCAGGTGAACAGTCCCGAAGTGTAGCAGCCGGGGCGCCGGTTGTCAAGTTCAACGCCGCGGGCACCCCAGAGCGGCGAAGTCCAAATCTTTGACCTGCGCAGCTGGGATGGGAAGGGCTGCGAGGACGTGGAAATTGAACTTGCGCCTTGCACTGAGCGTTCCCTGTTCCCTCGCTGAAAGCTGTGGGAGATTGAGAGCCAGACTTGTCGAAGAACGCCATAGGCGGATGGTTGGTCACCCATATCATGTCCTGTGCATGGAGAATGTGGGGAGATCAAAGGTGCACCCTTCAAAGACGGGCTTCATCCAGCACTGCATTTGGAGAACTCCTTTTGCTTGCCTCACTTTCCCATTCTAGCTCAGAGCCGGGAGTCCAAACGGCTGTGAAGCAGCCACTGGAAGCGGCAGCCGCGCTGTGTCTCGTAGTCTCCAGGGACAAGAGATGACAAGAGGGTGTGAAGGGAGATGCCGAAACTACAAGGTTTTACGCTGGAGATGTGGAAGCCGTGCCCTTGTCATGATGCTGACTGCGCGTCTCCAAGCTGGCCTTGCGCCAACTCAAGCACCATCCTTAGGTAGTGAGACGTCTCGGGCCTTCAGCTTGTGTCGGTGCAGTCTGGCAAGGGCCAGCTCTGGAAGCAGGAAGAATTTGCGCGCGAGCAAGTTTGCAATGACGGGTGCATCATGGGCAAAAGGCGAGGCGGGACATGTCTGAAACTCTCCGCACTTCCATCTCCCGGACTGAGCTCTTGAACTGACCGCGGCATTGACTTACGGAATGCTCGACAATAACTCGGCAAAGAGACATGAGCTTCCGCAGGCTGTGCAGATTGGCTCCAGCAGGGTTGCCTCACTGCTGGCTCCATCTTCGACGGCACCCGAAGGCTCCCGGAATGCAGCTTTTCTTCTCTCAGCATCCTACAACCCTGTCAGCCTAAAGCCTAAAGCCTTCACTCTCAGCTTTGGCTTCGGGGCACCACGGAGCGGCGACAGCGCTCCAGCGCCCAGGGCCTCATAGATCGCCAGTGCGGCAGGCCTCGGGAATCAGACGATGAAGCGCTTCATACAAGCAAGCAGAAACTGTGACAATCGTGTCAGGCCACCGGTCATGTCTGGACTCTGAAATGCTGCCGTGATCCGTAGCGGACATGATGACGTGATGCTGCTACCCTTCTGAAGAAGCCAGGCGTCTTGATGCTTGCACGCAAGTCCTTCTCGGAAAGGTCCTGCACCTCAAAGGACAGCGCACGACTGCCCGATCTCGAGATCCAGTCTCGAGCGAGGCTTGAGTCCCGCGAACCTTCTGCCCAAGCGGCCCGTTTGATGCTGGCCAGGGTGGGCCAAAGCCGCCGCAGACGATGTCTCAGGACAACGATGCAATGTCTTTGCGATGACGCCATCAACAAGCTCATGCCCGCAACCTCAAGTTTGGAGCCTCAAGTTGGTCCTGATTTCCGACACCCTGTTGTCTTGAGATTTGCTTCGTTGGGAGTTCGACAGCAAGTGCTGAGATTTGCCTCACCCGTGGTGCATCGAACTCTTTGTGAAAGACACTGCAGGTACATGGATCACGGCAGGGGAGGGTCTTCCACTGTACGTGGCAATGCAGGACGAGCCACTCGTCCTGGCGGTGGGCGCCACTTGTCACGGCGAAAGCCCTTGCCTTGACTTGACGATCAAGCAGCTACAAGATGCAATGCTCTCTGATTGTTGCCAGCAGTCTCTCCCAGCAGGCTTTTCTCAAGGCTCCTTTAGTCGCTGCAGACACATTTCCAATTCTGCATCAACACATGTTGCAGCGTCAAGGCTCGAGACTTCTTGAACTCCTACCTGCTTACTGATCCCGCACGGCCCAAAGCCTCCTAGGCCCCGGTGACGTAGCCTCGCTAAGCTGATGACGTCTATTATCACCACCAACTAAGGGAATGATGATAGGAACGAGCAAGGTGGTCACGATACTGCTGATGACAGAAGTGATTTCCATAACGCTGAGGTCACTGTCGGAAAATCGAGGCGGTTAGAGACGCAGACCGGCAACGCCGGAAGAGGAAGGTGGTATCAAGGGAGTAGGGGTATGTCGGATTAGCGAATTCGTGCCGCCATTGGTGTGGCGAACAATCAAAACTAGCATAAAATAAGGTGTATGTATTGAAACGGCAGCAGTGGCGGTGGTCATCCTTGTCGTGGGCTTCTTCTTCGTCGTATTGCTAGTCGTAGTAGTAGCAGTAGTAGCAGTAGTAGCAGTAGCAGTTGTAGTGGGAGGGGGAGGAGGAGGAGGACGACTAGTAGTGGTAGTGGTAGTGGTAGTGGTAGTGGTAGTGGCAGTAGGAGTCGTAGTAGTAGTAGTAGTAGTAGTAGTAGAAGTAGTAGTAGTAGTAGTAGTAGTAGTAGTAGTTGTAGCCGAAGTTGTAGTCGTAGTTGTAGTTGTAGTGGTAGT